TCCCCTATGGAAAAGAGTCACTGCCTTCAAGAATTATTGGATTATGAGAGTAGATAAAGAATATGTTAACCCATAAATTATCGAAAAATGATAATGTGAAAAAAGAGTATTATTTATAATACCAAGATACAGTTTTGAATGAGTATTATAAATGATAAAAAGAATATATTAATGGGTTTCATCGGAATAGGTAATAAATCGCATAAATATGAATACAATTCATTACTAATAGATTATTGCTAATCGTTCATTTGTATAAGTTTGCTTAATGTATTTGTGAGTGAAAATGTAAAACTATGATGAAACAATTCTAGATTTGATTAAGTAAATTCAGAGATCAGAATCAGTGATGTGTTATATTAAGGAGTTATGGTTTTATAAGTGATTAATTAATTTTTCATATAATGAAAATTCCAAGAAAATTGTTGAAATTTGTAATAAAATATATTGAATTGTAATTTTCTTCTGAAATTTGATTAATAGAATTAAAATGTAAGAAGATTACACTTATCAAGTATCATCTAATATAAGATTTTTTAAATTCTAAAAAAATACAACGGCAAAGTTATAATATAGATTGATGATCAATTATTGAATTTTATAGTCATGATTAATAAATAATTCAATAAAATAGTAGTAATCCACAATATCAATACTCATTTTACAATATTTAGAAGAGTTAAAGAGAGAAACCTTATTCAATTAAGAAATAACACAATTTCTAAAGGAGAATAAGTACCTTTTTATTATGTATCAATTCATTCATTGGGCAGAAGAGATGGAATATAAATAGGTTAATGGATATTTGAGACCTATTCATAAAAAGAAAACATCAAAATAATAAAAGTTTGATTTGGGAGATCTTAAGAAGTAATTTTGTGCAATAAATCCGCGATCTAAAATAATATAGATGGAAACTCAGTATAAATGGATTGAATTTTAGAATGCTTAGGCTGAGATCTGTTTAATTGTGAATAATAAGATTAAAGATCAACCTAATAAATGTACATTCAAACAATTGAGAATTAAAAAAGTAATAACCTTATGATAAATTTTTAAGTCTTTCTAAGAAGGAGGAACTAAATGATTCTCTTATGGAAGAATCAAAAGAGTAATCAATCAAAGAAGAATATTTAAGTGGTGAAATTGATGAGTATGCTCCACCTTATAAAGAGGACCTATACTCTTATTTAAATTTTGTGTATAGCAGTTATGATTCACCTTGTATTCATATTTTTTAATAATTAACTAATTATTACATCAAAAAAAAATTAATTATTCATGTATGAATGTAATCGAATTTCAATACCATTTTATAAATGTAAATGATTAATATAGATGGATTTAAATTAGAGTGAAGATATTTATCATTGTTAAGGATAGAAGATTAATTCACCTAATAAATGTATCAAATATTTTACATAATATTTCTGATAAAATAATTCATCATGAACCTCTTGCTAAAGAGAATAAAAGAAAGAAGGCAAGAAGCAAAATAAAAAGTAAGAAAAATAAAAGGCACAATAATAATAAATGATACAATTGTTTGAATAGGATCCAAAAGTGAAAGAATAAATTTAACATGAAGAGGAATTTTAGATAATGTAATTCATCAATTACATTTTCATATTTCTCATAATGTCTAATTTAGTTGGATTATAAGTTCATTACAAAATAAAAAGATTCTTGAACCTTTGAAATAAAAACTATGTTTAAGTTATGTGAATCATAATTGAGTATTTCAAGTAATCAACTTCGAAAATATTAAGAAATTGATTTAAAATCTCCCCATATGTGTAATTAACCCAAAAGGAATATATGAATATCCAAATTTATATAAGGGACTTAGTTTTACAGGTTTAAGATCAGAATACATGTCAGTTCATTTGGGTCTATAAGGATTACTTTGTTTTTGATCAAATAAAATGAAATTGATGGTAAATATGAAATGTTTATAGAGAGATGGAATTCATTAAGTTAATTTACACATAGGAACTGTTTTCAGAAATGGCTCATGTAATAGCCAAAGAAGCATAAACAATATAATAATTAATTATAGTGATTTGAGTGATGATTTCAAAACAGAATGTTAAAAACAATTAAATTATTTTATCCTTATATATCCTTTCTTAAGCTAACCATGAGTCTTCCTTCTCCTACATTTATTGTTTTAATCTAAAGATTTAAGTCTTAAACTATTCAATATGTTGACATTAGCATTTTTCTGTAACTCTTAGAATTAATTAGAAAATTCTTTAATGATTGAATTTTTCTTCTCAATAGTTTTATCATATTATTCCTAATTTGATAAAGTAAATTAATTAAGAGCAGAATCATTAATTTACTAATAACCTTATTAAGATCTCTAATTCTTTTTTTTTAATTGTTCACTTTATTATCTAATAATAATAGTCAAATGTTAATTCTCATCTTAAACTTTATAAATTTATCTTGAAGATCAGTACACTTTTATTCCCATTATTAGATTTCAGAATCTTATCATTTCCTTTAATTATCATGATATTAGTCTTAAACTCTTTAAGTGGAGATTAACTAAGAGCCCTTATTGATCTAGAGTGTGTCTTTCTAGAACTAGATAATCTTACTATTTGAGGAGCAGTTCATATAACAGGAGCAAGATTTCAACTATTAACAATTCTTAAGATTCGAAAGTTGAATTTTTAATCACTTTAAATAACAAAGCTTCTCTCTTATCTGTTGTAGAAGTAAGTGGTTTTTATTATTTTTGATCTTGAGTTGCTCCACCATCTAAAAAGTATGCTAAATTAATTACACAATCATTAAGCAATTAATTGCCAGACAAATTGAACAGTAATTTTATCTATCTACTGCTGTATTATATTTCAATAATATTGTCA